TTTTATCCTTCAACTTCTTCTGGTTTGTTATTGGGTTTTGGTTCTGCTTTTAAAAGGCAAAAGATTTATACGATCTGAAGAGAAACCAGAGTATTTGGTTCTGCTTTATAAACTCCCTCTCCTCTTCCCTCTTTTTATTAAAAAAATTTTTTTTTTGGTGTGAGAGAGAGCATGAGCAAGGGAGGGGCAGAGAGAAGGGAGAGAGAAAGAATCCAAGTAGACTCTGTGCTGCCAGCACAGAGCCCAACGCAGGGCTTGAATTCATGAACAGTGAGATCATGACCTGACCTGAAACCAAGAGGTGTACGTGACTGAGCTACCCAGCTGCCCTTACACATTTTACTCTTATGCATGTAGACTTCATCGTAGTCTATGCATCTTCTACTTTGTATATTAGTCAGTTACCTTTATTTTATTGAGATGTGTTTTCTTCTTTCTAATCTTGTTTTAATTTAGAAACTTTAAACATGTTTAACCTGTTTCTTTAAAATGTTAGGGGTTTTTTTTGTTGCTTTCTCCTCTAATCTTAATTTTATACTTTCTAATAGTGTAATGCAGGAGTTGAGGGATTCTTTCGTTCCCCCCCCCCCCAACTCTTTTTTCTGGATCCCTCACTCTGGATTGAAATAACGCGACATATGGATCATTAAGCTCCACCTTGCAGAACACACATTTGTTTTGATGGAAGAATTATTAGATCCTTATGAGAGGAACTTACAGCTCTAAACTCTCCATTCTTCACTATGTATGGCTATCATATTTGGGGCAGAACCCATCATAAGAACATCAGTAGGAATTATAAATGAGCAAAGTGACACCAGGGGAAGGGCTCTCTACAGAATGCCCTTGGCCTTAGTGAGGAGTTGGTGATAACTTCATGAGGGCCATCCACGGTATTTCTGCAGCAAAATTACTGGCACCATCTTACATTAGTAGACTTTCCCAACTTACTTTTACGAAACAGAATCCGCCTCCCTCCTGAGAGGACTAGGGAGGATCCTTTGGGTGTAGCCACCCCAGCAATTCCAGCATTCTAGGCCAAAGGCATGCTGGCTTTAAGAATTAATTAGGGTCTGAGGGCTCCTGGGTGGCTCAGTTCAGCATCCAGCTTCGACTCAGGTCATCTTGCGGTGCATGGGTTCGAGACCCCCATGGGGCTCTGTGCTGACAGCTCAGAGCTTGGAGCCTGCTTCAAATTCTGTGTCTCCCACTCTACCCCTCCCCCACCCACTGTCTTTCAAAAATAAACATTAAATTTTTTTTCATCGGTTGTGCCTCATTGGGAATGTTTAGACCTGTAATGGGCAATTAGAACTGCACAGACTAGAATTTAACAGATGAATTTCACTTCCCTGTTGTGGACTTTGTCATCTGAAAGACAGGGGACATAAACCTGAAGCTCATTTCCTTTCTCTTGGCCATCACCTTAAGGGAGAAGTCTTACCCACCTTTTCAGGGTTGGTCCAGGTTTATTTAGATGGGGTTTTGGTCAGAGCCTAGGTCACACTGTTCATACTCCTTTTGACAGCCCTCCCCCCCCTTCACTATTTAACCTGAGAGCACCCACACCAGCATGTGAGTCTAGGAGGGGCAGAGAGAGAATCCCAGGCAGGCTCTGAGCAGTCAGCCCAGAGCCTGACACAGGGTTCAACCTCATGAACCATGAGATCATGACCTGAGCCTAAACCAAGAGTTGGATGCTTAACTAAGGCACCCAGGCGCACCTGGAGCCCTTTTCAAGCATACTTTTTCCACTCCAGTGAAAGTAACCCGTTACCAGCTATGAAACTGGACAGTGAGGCGGTAGACCCCCAGACCCCAGCTAGTCGTCTGGCTCAATGTCCCAAGTACAAACTGATGTTAACACCCTATTTCTTTAGGAGTTCTGTCTTTCCTTAGTTTTTGCAACTCAACTGTAGACTGACGGTCATGGGCTAAACTACCTTAGGTCCCTATATAATCCTTGCCTGACCAGTAGGAATCAATGGTTCCCTGCTGGGATTTCTACGGAGGTAACATTCAAGTATCTTTCTTAGTCTCCTTTTGAAAGCCTTTTCTTTTAAAAGATGTGGCACCCTTTTGGTTAAGCTGGGAAAACCAAACTTTTTTAAAGTGTACAGTTTTTTTTTCCAAAACAATCACATAATCAACAGCTCTCACGCCCTTTTGTAGTCAACTCCCATCTGCACCCCAGGAAGCCATTCATGTGTCTGCTATCCCAGGTTTCTTTTCCAGAATGTTATTTAAATGAAGCCTTGAGGCTGGCTTTTCACTTAGCATAATGCTTCAGAGATCCATCCATGTTGTCTTTAATCAGCACTTCATGTGTTTTATTCCTAGGTAGTATTCCATTGTACGGATGCACCAATTTACCCATTCACCAGTTGGAAGGCCATGTTGACTTATTTTTGGTGACTGAATAAAGCGCCTGTATTCACATACAGTTTGTGAATGTTTTCATTTCACTTGGATCAATTCCTAGGAAAAGTGATTGATTACTGTGTCGCAGGATATTTTTGTCAGAAACTGTCAAACTTTTCCAAAGTGACCTTACCATTTTGTTAATTCCTCCAGCAGTTTCTCAGTTGCTCTGCATCCTAACTAGAACTTGCCATTTTTTTACCAGGTGTGTCATTTTGCATTTCACATTTTCCTAATGATTTATGATAGCATCTTTTCATATTTTTTGGAATCCACTTTTCTTTGGAAAAGTGTCTTCAAATCTTTTGCAAAAATTTTTTCTTTTTTAAGTTTTGGAGTTCTGGGTACCAGTCACTTACCAGGCATATTCTTTCAAGCCTGTACCTTTAAAGACTTAGTACCAATTTTACTTAAAATCGAGATAAAACACTTGCTCAGTGCAGGAGGTGGATATTGATTTGGGAGTAACCTTAATGCATAGTTGGCCCAAATTATATTGGAAGGGTTACATGTGGTAGATGGCCTTTCAACTTTTTAATGTGAACTTTTTAATACCATCACTCACTGTGAACTTGCTCTGTCAGTTCATCTCTGGGTCATTCCCTCATTTTTCATTCATCCTAGTTTGGTACTGTGTGCCTTTTCTCCGGGCTAAAATTACTCCCTTTGCTCACTGTGAGCAAATGTATAGCCATGTATCCAGACATAGGGCCTTCTTAGATTTCCACATATCAACCCTGTACACACTAAGCTTTTACTTCCCTCTCCTATCCAACCCCCCAGTGAGGCATGGAGCTGTTAATAGTGAAGTTTAAATATTTTGTGGCTATTACTGCTGGTACTTGTTGCTCAGCATCATTTTACAACTGAGAACCTTCTGGTTTTATTATGAAAGAAACTAGTTCTTCATAGTAATTTTTTTAACCTACAGAGAATTCAACTATTTTCCCTTGATTTTTAAAAAATGAATAAATTTGACATGTCACATTGTGTAAGTTTAAGGTGTACAGCTTGCTTTGATACCTTTATATACTGCAACATGACTGCGATGGACTAATATTTATCACATAATTATAGCATAACATCTATAATATTCTTTATACCATGCATTAGGTCTCAGGTTTAGTACTCCTTACAAATTTGTACCCTTATTTATTTAATGTTTTTATTTCTGAGAGAGTATGTGAGCAGGGAAGGGCCAGAAAGAGGGAGACACAGAATCCGAAACAGGCTCTGAGCTAGCTGTCAGCAGAGCCCGACGCGGGGCTCTAACCCACGAACTGCAAGATCATGACCTGAGCCTAAGTCAGACGCTTAACTGACTGAGCCACCCAGGCACACAAAATTTGTACCCTTAAATATCACCACTCTTCTACCTCCCTTACCCTGGTAATCACCATTTTACATCTTTAACTTTTATAGATTCCCACATATAAGTGGTATTCATACAGTACTTGTCTTTGACTCATGTTACTCAGCATAATGGGCTCAAGATCCATCCATGTTGTTGCCATCTTCCTTTCTCATGGACAGTTTAACTTATTTAACACGTTAGTCTCCTGTTTGCAGGGCCAAATTTGTGGTGTGGCCTTATTAAATATAAAGATTCATACACTGGCATCTCCTTTTTTAAAATTTTCACCCAGTTCATTTACTGTGTTTCTTATGCCTCACTCAGACTTTTCAAATCCTTTTTTGGACCCAAGTAGGATACAAATAAATGACTACTAGTATAGAGACAAAATCTTCTGTCATCTCCTACTCTTCCAAAGGCAACTCTGGAGTTGCAGAAATATCCTCCAGGGACTCTATTACCTACTTTTCAAGTTTATGACTTCTAAGATCTGGAGAAATCAACAGGGTGCACACCTAGAATGCTAGGCAAGGATTCTAGAAATGTATCCCATTCCCAGATTGATTTCCTCCCTAAACTGTAAGGAATTCTAAAACATGTTGAACGGGGAGGTATACATGACAAACTAGAAGCCAAAAATCAAAACCCTACCTTGAAAGTCACAATGAAAGTCACAATAAAAGCCATGCCTGAGTATAACCAACTGTTGTGAATTCAAGCAGGTATGTTAGTTTTGCTGTTTTAGGAACCTAGTATGTTTTATGCATTATTACAATTGACCTCAAGGGTAACTATTAACACTGTTATTTCTAAATTACTTCAAAACCCACATTGGTGGTAAAAACTTTAATTATGTTGAGGCTATCCATGTTTTCTTCTTCCCTCAAGAAAACAGGTACCTTTTAAATGTAGGTAAATGTAAACTGGTAATTGAGCAGGGTTTTTTTCCCTTTATGGGAGCTTCTTATATTCAAAACATAGTTTAAAAACATACTTTTTACCACCAAACTACCTGTTTGGCATCAATAATATAATATTGGAAAACTCTAACCCAAAATATTGACACATAATATTTGCTTAATGCTACTTAGGAATTAGGTTACTTAGGAACTGAGAAGTAATTTCAAGGATTTTACTGCTGAATCCTCAACTGAAATTTTATTCGTTGAGCTAAATAGAATATATACAGGTCCACTTAAAAAAAATAATCACCCTATGAGGCAAATTCAAATCTGCCAACGTAGTTTTAGTCTCTAACCAAACCAGCAATATAGTCAGCAATAAATATACTGCTACCAAGTTAACTTTCATGATGGTTCTTTGTGGAATAAATGAGAAAAACAAGGTGTCAGAGTACCAGTGGGCAATTTTCTTCCTAACCCAAGTCAGCCACTGATGATCTTGTCCTAGTTGGCTCATTAGATTCCTGTGGGCTTCTTCATCTTCTTTGAGAAAAAAAATCTTACCATCAGTTCTTATTTCAGACACATAAGGTAACTGTTTTCCCATAAATACTTTAAACTCATCATTACTGGAAAAAAAAATAGTCCCCAAGACTTCTAGTAATGAATGAGTACACAAACAACATCTGGATATTAATTCCATGGTGCAAGGATTTCCTGCAAAGTACCTTTAATACGTTTGTATCGGCCGCAAGCATTAGGATGTGCTAATTTTGGCACCATCAGTTATGTGTGTAGCACTACACATTCGATAAAAGTCACCCCAACCAGTATTTATCCATGTGAATAGAAAAACTGAACAAAAACATAGTTCTGATAAAGGCTGAATTCTTAAACCCAATACAGTTTAATTTTTTTGACAACCGAGGGCTACTATCTAGGATTATTTTGTTAATGATAAATACAGACAGGAATTATTTAGAAAATAAAGTACTTCACCGTTCTTATATATTAAGTGTCCTGCTATATAAAATATACCCTCAAGTTGTCGAAATATGTGAAATCAGTGTTTCAAATAAAAATCACAGCTATGTTACTGTTCAGCAACTCCATTCAAATAAACATCAGTACTGCATTCTCAAAAACAAAAAAAGTAACTGAGGCAAAAGCTTTGAAGTTTGCATTCTGAGTGTACAACAGAAACCCCTCACTCTGAATCCTTTAAGACTGCCAGTCTGCTTCAGTAATCTGAATCTGCCATATCTTCAATAGGTAAAGCACTGTGCTGAGAATATAAAAAGTTATAAAAAGGCAATCATAAAAGATTAAATCTTGGTAGGCATGTCAGCTTTCTTTTAATAAAAACAAAAATAGTCATTGTCATCTAGTTAAATAAGTCTCTTTTGTATAGTGTTCCAGTTATTGAAAAAGGGCCCTTAAAAAACCCAACTGCCTCAATCTTAAGCCTTACCCCTCTTGCCCCATAATACATGTTTGAAGGAAGTGTCATTTAATGTGCAAATTGGCAAAACAAATGTGGAGGAGAGGGGACTTCTTGAAATGACATGCCCAATCAAGTCTTGGTTTATTCTTTTACAATATCAACTTCCAAAAAGTAAAATAACCAAAGTACTCCTAAAAATACACAAAACAGACCTTCATCTTTGCATTCCTTTCCCAATAAACACAAAAGTATGTACAGCATGTTTAATAATATGCAATATGCAAAAGCTTTGTGTTGCTGTTAGCAACATCTATACCCACCCACCCTCCTTATTCACAAGTGTACCTCTACTAAACACAATTACATCACTAAGCCTGTTAGTTTGAAAGGGTCTTAAATTTGTTAAAGCTGGAAAATCTTTGTATAGGGGCTCCACTCATTTGACTCAAAGTTATAGACTTCCACCGTATTCAGAAATTCATTGCCATCAAAGCCTCCCACCGCATAAATGGTGCTCCCTACAGTTGTAATCCCTGCGTTGCTCCGTGGTGAAGTCATGTTTCCCATCATCTTCCATTCATTTCTAGCTGGGTCATACATCTCCACACAGCTGATGGCATGAGAACCATCAAAGCCACCACCTACAAACAATTTTCCTAAAAGAGAATAAACCAAGGTAAATCTAGAGAGAGAGGATAAGGAAAAAAACTCCTAAATCTCTATTTTTTGCTAAAATTGGTGGTTCTGGTAGAAATGCCTGCTCATTCTATCAAAAAATACTTGTTAAATGCCTTCCTAAAGTGACAAATAAACCCATTCATACATGGAACTGCAGCAATTTACAAGGAGAGGGGCAGCCTCGAACTGAAGCACAATTCTCACAATTCTTTGTGTGAACTACTACTGCTGCCATTTCACAGAAGAAATGAGGCACAAGGAAGCTGGACAACTCGCCTAAAGCAGCAGCTAGTAACTGGCAAGCCAGAGTGGTTCTGTGCACTGGAGATTTTGTACTAGTCCAGTGCCTAAGAACTAAGATTCAGATAGAAAGTTATAGAAAAGCAATTTTCAGATACCGAACATTCTCATGAGCTTTCTAATTCTATAAAATTCTTTTGGTACAAAAACTTCTTAGAAACAGACCAAGAGTTATTACTGTTTTCAAATATATATGCAGAGCATTTCATTATTTTCAGACACACAAAATGTTAGCATTAAGCACTGTGTAGCTTTAAAAACTTCATTATTTTCTCATTTGATTGTTCCTATATCTACAACCACATATTTATAGAAGAATTGACAAGGCTCAGAGCAGGCTGCAGGTTACTTGCTGGCATGTCTACACATCTATGCTTTCAGCAGATGAGCCACAAGCTTAACTACGATTCCACTTTGTTCCCAAGACCATGCTATTTAAACTCATTATTATAACTATATAATTAAACATGTAAATCAGTACAATGGATGTGAAAAGAAAGCTGCATCCATCTAAAGATCTGTTTAAATGGTCTTAAATTTTGCTTCCAATTAGGTATGGAGTAGACAGAAGAGACCAGAATCTAGATGATTTGCACTTATTTTGCTTTACAAATAAAATTCATTAAATTCTTACTCTGAAGGAACAAACTGGAACTCTAAGATGATACATTTTGCATATGGGTTAAGGAACGGACTTAGAGAACTTCATTCAGTGAACCCATCAAAAGAGTAGTGTGTTAATGTATTATTATTTCAAGTACCGAGTCTCTCATTAGAATTAGAAATGACTTCTAAGAGACAAACCACCAATTCCCACTGCCTCAGAAACGATGGCTGCTTCTGAATTCTAATTATACAAGTGCATAGTTATCATGGACATTCTCTTGGAATATTAGAATACACTCTTGCCACTCCCTATTCTTTACTTTTCGAAATCTCGACACTCACCATCAAGAACAGCTACGCCAGCTCCTCGCCTAGCCACGTTCATGGGTGCAATTAAAGTCCAGGTGTTATTTTCAGGATTGTAACGTTCTACTGTGTTCAGACAATTCCAAGACTCTGCACCTCCAATTATGTACAAATAACCACCAAGCTCACAGACTGCAGACTGGTGTCTACCTATAATATCAAGTCAAACCAAAATTAAGACTTTATCTCCCAAAACTTTAAGTGCATATACTACACATACTACTGACTCAGAGATCTTTAAAAAAACACTTGACAAAAAAACCCAAATCAACTCACGAATGTTAAGAGGAGCACAGCTTGTCCACGACTTTGTTACAGGATCAAATACATCACAGTTTTTCAGTCCTTTTTGACCATATGGATCAGAGCCACCAACAATGTATAATTTCCCATTCAGAGCGCATACTCCTATGTGAGTATAAAATAAAGTTATATATTGATAATTTAATTGCCATATTTAAATACTGATGATCTCAGAAGAAAAGTAATTTTACCTGCATTACAACGGTTAGTTCTCAATTCTGGAACAGGAGTCCAATCATCTATGGTTGGATCATACATCTCTCCACAACTCAGGTCATCTGAATGGCCATTTGATCCACCCACCACATAGAGCTGGCCCTGTGTCAAAATTACGAGATCAGAATTTCTGCCACTCTCAAGTTATGAGAAACAGCTAAACATGGATTGCTTCTTCCTGCAATAAACCACTTACCATGAGTACAGCCATTTGAAATCGAGCTCTTGGTGTTCTCATGGGAGCAAGAAAGGACCAGTGATCTGTACGTGGATCATAGCATTCAACTGTTCGCAGACATTCCTCTCTGTTATAGCCACCTGGTAAAAAAAATCCATCAAGATTCATGTTTAAGATATCAAATCAGAAGAGGGTTTCTTGTCCAGAATGATTTAGGTGATGTGCACAATGAGAAGAAGTATTTTTATCCACAAACTTATTAAGGCCCCATTAATTGATGTTTTAACTCAGGGCATGTATTAGCCAAATATTATCACTATGAGTAAATTGCTTAGTCTTGGCTTGAAAATTAGGACAAAACAATTTAGCTACTTTACAGTTTTTTAAGAATTAGAAATAGACATTTACTTAAAGGTTAGGCAATACAATAGTATTTACATTTCCTTTGTCTTTTTAGAATGTGGTAAAGTGGAATGCCAAGGAATAAGGCATATGAAACCCTCTCTTCCAGAGTTCACATGTCACAAAGCAAGCACAAATGTCCATGTAGAGGCTTAGCCAGTTGCAAGTTTCCAAGAAGAAAACACTCATCCTCTGTTCTTACCTGCTGCAATGAGCTTGCCATTCATCTCTGCTGTCCCCAGACCAGACCGTGCATACTGCATGGGAGACATGGGCTTCTCAATCAGCTCATCTGGTTGCATCTCAAAGCTTAAACTTTTAATTAGTTTTGGAGTACTTGTTGGCGAGCTCTGTGGGCTGTTTCGCCCATGAAGGAAAATTACACAGAATATACCATCCAGCACAGCCAGGCACAAGTAAGTGTTATCTGTAAGCATAAGAGTTCTATGTTTAAGATGCAATTATTACTACTTTTGGTTGCTGTGTGATCCTGACTTGGATTCCAGATCCCAGACTGGAACGATCTGCTACTGTTTTCCAAATTTAATGGCTTCTGAGTTTTTCCCATGAATAGTCAGCTTCAAAGTTATTAAATGGTTCTGCTCAACTCTTCTTTAAAAATAAAGTCAATCTGATGAGTACACTTACTTGAAGTCTTTTCCGAAGCAACGATTTTCCACTCATGCTTAGGGCTTTGTACTGTAGCATTTGGAGAAGAGAGACATCCGGTGCTGCTACTTATCGGCTTATGGCCATTCTCACGTGGTGGCTTTTTCTGCAAAATCAAAAGGGAGCTACAGAAACCTAGCCAAAGACCATGCCTGGTGTACCTTTGTTCCTGAGCTATTCCGCAACACTGAAAAAACACCTAAAATCCTTCACCTATGTAGAATATTTAAAGCACACCTAAATTTAACACAAGCCAACACTTGCATCCTTCCATCTCCACTGAGAATTAAACAACTCCACCTACACAAGGAGCCAGGTCAGGAAAAGCTCAGCTGAAGCAAGTTGCAGATCAAGCAACTTGTAGATCAAGTATCAGAATACCTCAATGTGGGAGTGGGGGGTGGGGGGGTGGAGAAAAAATTTTAAAAAGCCCTTAATCTACATAACCTCACAGTTCACATACTCTTTATATTAAGTATAGAACCATCTCCCAAGAGATTAATTTAAAATGGCATGAATTATCTGAAAGATTACATTTAGCCCACTGTCTCCAAGAAACTGTCAAACCTAATTAAGTCATATATACTGATATCCTTCATACAATGCCAGCAAAAAGTGAGCAGACAGATATCCAATCCAGTCCCTCTGAGAACTATTTCTCAGGACAAAAGTGGCAGTTACAAGAAACACTTAAAAGTATATTTCTTCTGGACCACCGTATAGGTATTATAGAGTTCTTTTCTAGACAAACTGTATCGAAAGACAAAAACAAAAAATAGTAATCAGAAGTAAAACAGTAATACTAAAAGAACCAAACAGTCACAAAAGTAGTATAGGAACACTAAGAGGGAGAAATGGGCAAAGCTACAAATTTGCAAATGATTGTAAAAGAATTACATTGTGTTCTTCTTGTGTATGAGTTCCTTTTGATGATTTTCTTCCAATTATGTTACTAGCCCTTGACACTTTTAAAATATATGATCATATGGAATTAGAAGAGTCAAGATACCCTAAGAAGCACTACCAGATGAACAGGTACCACCCCCTTCAGTACCTGACACCAAGTGTGCTAATCCACTTATTTTGGTCCAGGGCCAGAGCCACATGGGTAGCTAAGATTTATAGCAGAAATCTGTTTCTTATGGAAGCAAAGAGCCATGTAACAACTCTTAAGAGGAAAAGATTTTGGTAGCTACTTAAAGCTGTAAAAAACTATCACAGTTTGGTCTGGGCCAGTCAACAAGCATGGTTATAGCGTATGTTATGTTGGCTATTTTGAAAAAAGGCAGAGAATGTACCATATTAACGGTAACCATTAAATTCTACTTTGACATTTATCATAAACCTAGGTATAATTAGGCACTTTATCCACATCATCTCTTTTAATGGAGTAAGGGCAATACTGCCAATCCATTTTATAGATAACAATACTCAGAGAAGATATGCATTACCTAAGGTAATACACCTAAAATAAAGATCAGAAATTCTGAGCATAAAGCCACTCTTTTTATACTATGACAAACTTGTTTCCTCTGCTACTAGAAATTCCAAGGTATATAAAACCCCATCCCAACCTGTAGGAAGAAGGGACCCAAAGTATCATAAATTGATGATGCTTACATTCAGTGTTTTTACTGCAGTAAGAAAACTGTTCTAACATATGGACTATAACTGAGAAAAATCAATGTGAAAGAGGAAAGCAGAGTAACAACGAACACTACTAGTGTTTTATAACAAGTCATACAGAGGTGCTGATGAACTCCTTTTTTACCTTCTGAAACATACAGATCTTTCAAATACAATCCCTTCCTCTCCCATATCTTCAGACTTTCCTGTATCAACTCCTCCCACACAGCTACCCACTGGCCCCACTTTCCTTGCCTCAGGCTCCCCAGGGGGTAATCTCTGGTGGCTGTTTCTTTTTCAACCACTACTACTTCTCAAGCTAAGATATTCTTAACCTTACTCTCTTTGGAACTTATACCCACTTAAGGTTACCAAGTGGCCTTCCAAAGCCAGAGCAGAAGAGATATTCATAACCATCTTTTACATGACCTCCAAAAGAATGATTTGACACAATTAACAATTTAGTCCTCCTTCAAACTTTCTCTGCTTATGTTAGCTAGCTTTCTAACACAATTTGATTCGAATTTCCTCGTTCTTAATGGCTTCTCAACCTCTTTTCCTATTCTTCAAGCCTAATGTGTCCCCTTATCCTATTTTACTTCATGATCTTTATCCATGGAAGCACCTTCTAAAGAGTCACATCAGAATCCTGCTTTCTCAAGATCCTCCTTTTCTTTGATTTTCTTACTCTAAACAATCACTAAGGACTCACTCAATCTTCGAAACTATAAATGCTTAGAGTCCACTTTTCCTCCTTCATGCTCCTGGACCAAGCCCTCATTTTTTTTTTTTTTTTTTAATTAAACTACTGCTTATAGTAATCTATACATTGGTCTCACAAGCTTTAATATACCCTCTGTACTTGGCCATAAAAATATAAGGGTTTAATGCAACCATTTAGTAAACTAAGAAAAACGAAACCACAGATCAACTGAAGTCCCATGACCCAGAGACCACCTGGTAGTTAACCACGGGTCTAAAATGATTAGACCTCTGCTGCACAGAAATATAGTAATTTAACAAATGCCCGATTGGTGGACAACTGCCCAGTTTTTCACTGTTATTATTAAAGTTGTGAAATATATCTATGTTCAGGGGCCCCTGGGTGGCTCAGTCAAGTTAAGCATCCAACTCTTGATTTGGGCTTAGGTCTTCATCACGCAGTCGTTGAGAGCCCTGTGTGGGGCTCTGTGCTCACAGCGCAGAGCCTACTCGAGATTCTCTCTCCCTCCCTCTCTGCTCTCCCCCCACTCTCTCTCAAAATAGACATTAAAAAAAAAGAAAAGAAAACAGATCTGTTTGTGTCACTCAACTTTGAAAGTTCCCCACCACCTGCAGGATAAAGTGTAAGCCCTAATCAGGTGGCATTTACCTACTTTCCCAATCTTGTGACTTGCCATTCTAAAGCTATCATCCTTGCACAGGTAGTTTTTGCTATCTGACAAACTTTCCTCTATCTGCTGCTTTGCAAACTCCTCTAAATCCAAAGACTGCTCAAATGTTGCCTCCTCTGTAAAAGTTCCCTAGTTTCTTTCCTCTTGGCTCCTCTATCCCCTCCCCTTTATACCTTTTGTAGATCCCTCTTCTAAGACTGTACTGTTTTAGTCTACTACTATAAGACGGCCCAGCAACCAGAAACTGTCTCTTACATATTTTTGTGTCCTAACATCATGGCCTGCCACTTGAAAAAGTAACTTAAAAAAAAAAAAAAAGGATCTTTAGAGTACAAGGGAAAATATCCTAAATGTTCAAAATGCAAACTATGAACAAAGTTCCCAACTAATTTAAACACAAACACTTTCTGTGAAAAATATAGATACTTGGCCACTATTGCCACAAAATACCTGATAACGTCACCATTCAGGTCACTTCTGCTTCTACATTTATCTTCTGTTAAAGAGAAAACACCCCTTAAAACTACGTTAACTGGCCTACTTTAGTTTATTCCTCACAAATACAATGTTGAAGCTAAAGGCCAAGCAAAAAGAATGCATACCGTATGACCATTTATATATATTTCAAAGGCAAACTCCTCTATTGTTTCAGAAGTTAGAATAATGGTTTCCTTTAAGGCTGTGTGAGGAGGTGACTGGGAAGAGGCAAGGGAAGGCTTCCAAGGCCACAGAAATCTCTTCTTGACCCAAGCAGTGAACTAGTGGGTTCACTATTTGACACTTATGATTTGTGTCCTTTTCTCTAAATTTTTGTCCAGAAACTAAAAAAGTTTTATGCCTTGAGTTTTTTTTTGTTTTTTTTTTTAACAACTGGGTCTAACAACACCCATTCCCTGTTGCAAACAACTATTTTTTGTAATCTAACAAAAAAAATCAATTTCTATATTGCTTCATCTTACTGGCCATTTTTCTTACTACCTATAAATCCTATTTCACTGAGGAAAAAAAACCTAAATGTGGTTTCCTAATTTGCTGAATTTCTTTTTATGTGGCAAAACAGTAGTAACTCTAAGAAAGATATGCTTGTTTTGTCCTGAAAATGTTTGTTAGGTTATACCAATGAAATTCTTCCACTTTCCTTTCTTAAAGGAAAATTTCAGTATACTAGAAAATGCTCTAATCACATTTTAACCTGAGGTTACCTCAGATGTGCAATGTGTACCTGCACAAACTGAATGTGGTCATCATCACTGCCAAACACCTCAGCCTGTCCATCTAGTAGGTTCCCATCAAGCAGCTTGTGATCAGCTGAGTAGTACAAGGTTTGAACCTGCAAAACAGCAACAGAACACCCATGTGGCTACCGTCTCCATGGCTACTCCACTAGTATGCAGATGACACAGACGCCTCCAGGTAACCTCCAGTGTGCTTCTTGAACTTCTTGACATCTTGCTCTGGCAGGATCCCGAAGTAAAGAAAATACATGTCATGGTTGTAAAAATTTAAAAAACAAAAATAAAATACAGAATCTTCTAACACTGGCCGAAGAGTCCTTGGCTTGATTGGCTTGAAAGAAATCTTCATTTTTCCACAGCTTCTATTATATAGTATTAAAAAAAAGGCACTAATACAATATATAGGCTCTTAAAGCATATACATATTTACAATAAAATATGGACTATGAAGTGCTCTGATATGCATTAACATATTTCTGTCCTGTATGCAATGTCAAGAAAAACAGATAAAAAGCAAAAAAAAAAAAAAACCTCTAAACAAGCTGTAGAGACACCTCCCTCAGCAGATGCAAACATATGGTCAATGCACCTGATTTTCAAGTGGGAAATGATATAAAATGTAAAAATCACCTGTTAGCGTTCTTAGAACATAATGCTAACAGTACGTTTCAAGGCCTAACAGACCCGGAAAGCCTTTAGTGAAATGACAAATTCAAGGTCACTGCTCCATCTGCATATGTTTAATTCCCACCATTTCTCCATCAAATTTTTGTGTTAATTTTCAAAAGTAGCCCAAGTTAAGTGAATGACTATATGTATGAACAACCGAATTGAAAAACACAAAGCTTTAAAGAATCCTGTAAAGGAGTAAACACCATTAAATCATCATCGTTCTCTGCCCACAGCGGATTTTTCTTAGGAGAACTGGGGCAGGACTGCTGCTTCTTTACGTGTCAATACACTTGAGGTTTCTTCTTGTTTCTTCAGTCTTGGGTATCCTAGTTTTGTTAATAAACCTATGGGGAGATAAATCAATGGGGAGGAACAACCATTAGAAGCTTTTACCTACTTATCAAATTTAAGCAAAAACCTGTGAAGAAAAATTAAGAATCTACAGAAAATTTCAGTACCACCTCCCATTTCTAAAGCAAATTACATGCTACTTTAAAGGAAGTTAACAGCACATAATAAGCAAAGAAATAAAAAAAGAAAAGCAGAAGACCAAACTGAACAGTTCATTCAGCTCACCTGGACACCCCCCCTGTTTCTCAGCTTAGGGGTACCTATAGCAAAATTTAAATTCTTTAGGGTCATGGTTATAAAATAAAAGTGAAAGGGAATCCTTCATGTTATAGCAAAATAATTAAGAATTGTTGAATCCCATTTACTTTAAAACTAACCTCTTCCATCAGCTCTTCCAGACTGTCTCCATTCTCCCAGATGCTACGCTGCACCCAGTTGATTACCTTTGTATACAATTTGCCATTGCTGGGCAAGCAAACATTATCTTCAAGCATTACCTCCAACTACAGTCGGGAAAAAACAAGGACACATAGATCAGTGTTGAGCCTCTTAATTCTCAGCTTAATGTTCAATTTCCTAGTAAAACGGTCACAGATGCCCAATCTCATCCCATACACTTATTCTCATTTGTAAGAAAATCAGTAGCCAAAAGATAAAGAAAACAAACTGAGATGCAGCAAACTGTTACACTGCTAAAAAATGACAGTATCATTTCAATGTACTTTTTCACAACCATTACTTACATGCTTGAAACATGAACAAAGATTCAGCAACTGAAAATAAGTAGTTAGATCTTTATAAATTTTACTCCTTACCTTTAGCCGTGGAAGTTTAAGAAACTCTTCCTCTTCTGAAATTTGTAACAAATGCTCCTGAATGTAAGCATCAACTTTATTCAACAAACGGTTGTCTCCCATACAACTTGCAAAATTTCGGTAAGAGATGCAGCTTGTAACATCCATTCTAGATAGTAGATAATCACCACAAACCTGGGAAAAGAAATACACAAGTGACCACACTTACATATATTTTATTTAATGAATATTTAATACTCAATGTGTAAGCATTCTTTGAAGATACAAAGATGAAGCAAACACCACTGCCTTAATAGAACAACTTTAAAAGAGAGAAGAACCTATGTATACAAACAATAAACAAAGAATGTCATACAAATGTCTAAGTTGTTTATGGAAAGATGCAACAAACTGAAATGCTGTGATAACGCATATGCAATGTGTAGATAAGTATTTCTAACTAGAATAATTAGATAAGGCTTCAACATGAAGGCAGTATCTGAACTGGGATCTACACAAGAGATGATGTTGACTGCAGACAGAAGTAGGGAAGCAGTTGGGAATAATTTAGTTTGGCTGGAGCAAAAGATAAGTAGGAAAATAATTTTGGAAGCAAAGCAACTACATTAGGGAAAACTTGCAATGCTAACTTGAGGGGTATGTGCTATAAACCACAGAAGGATTTTTAAGCAAAGGAGGGACATTACAGGAAGGGCCAGGAAACTTCCTCTTAAAGGGTTTAGGCTTTTGGGTCATTAATGTCTTTGTCACAACTACTAAATTCTGTCAACTGCAGGTGGAAGCAGCCAGAGACCATATGTAAATAAAAGCTGTGTTCCAATAAAACTTTCTAACAAACAACCGGCTTGAGGCTTGCAGTTTACTGACCCCCAATTAGAGAATTAAATGCTTTTTATTCTATGAATTATTAGGCAGTTTTCAATAGCGTTACATTCTAGGAGTACTTTTACAGAGGAACTCCCAAGTGTAGAAGAACAGTGAACTGAGAATATTAAGTTCCATGATTAACTCTTGAGAAAAACAAGAAGATTTTAAATGTTTATTTATTTATTTATTTATTTATTTTTTGAGAGAGAGAAAGAGAAAGGGAGAATCCCAAGCAGGCTCCAAGCCCAGCACAGAGCATGACAGAGAATGGAGCGCTGACACGGGGCTTGATCCAACTGCGAGATCAAGACCTGAGCTGAAATCAAGAGTCTGATGCTTAACGGACTGAGCCACCCAGTCACCCCAAGAATATTTTAAATCCTGCTACGAGTGACTGACACAGCTACCCAGCCAGTGAAGATTACTGGAAGAGCAAGAGTTTATCTCAAATTATCTGAGAGGACATTACGACCTTGCTACTTTACTAGAGTAACTGGCTAAAATAACATTCAGTTCTAAGAGGAGCCATTTTCAAGTTCTTGAGACTAACAAATGTCTTATGACAAATTATGCATCTTAACTATGTAAAAGCAGACTTGTTATTAACAGTCCTCCTTAAATGTTACTTCTGGTAACACTACCTGCTTTACTCGGTCCATCTTCAGCTTTTTTGCTGCAGAATAAACATCTTTCACTAATTCCTTATCGGCTTTCAACCTATTAAAGAAAAGTTCTTTATCACTTGGATACCAAGGTCTTAAAACACAGATACTACTTAATTCAAATACATTTAGAGGGTTGGAATTTCCTGATGACATCCCCTAATTATACAATTTATAAAGTACTTACTGAGCAGTGTAGGCATAATTCAGTAAGACTTCAACAGCTTCTGGATTGAGATCATCAAATTTAACATGGGAAATTCCATGAGGATCACTATCACTATTAAAGATCTCAAATAAATAGGGACTGCAGCAAGCCAGAACTGCTCTGTGTGCTAACATCTCATGGCCACAGACCTGAAATTGTGAGGAATTACAATTAGAAGTACTATGGATGATTTGTTTCTCTAGTTAATTACCACATCAGGTCCTTTATCTAATATTTATAGCTAAATCATTGTTTTTTGAAGTTCTTTCATCAAATGCCTATCATGAAAAAGAAAATAAGCATATCCAAAAACTGCTTTTAGTAATAAAATATTAATTTTGTAGCTTTCCAAGTAAGTTTAAATACCTGAAGTCGAACATCACAGAACTGGCCACTTTTCCTCAGGGCATTTAATTTGGCAACAGAAGACTCAATAAAATTTTCGTCTTCAAACATTAAATATCCATTGGGTATCATTTTTCCTTATAAATCTGGCTAAAGGGCACAAAGAAAGCCAAACTGTTTTACTAGTGAACAGTGATCTTTATAATTATACCTTAAAGAGTAATACAGTATTTTTCTTTTCAAATTCTATCCTGTCAACATCACAAAAATTTTATTACACAAAAACACTGCTGAAACAACACTGGCACTAGATATCCAAGTCTTTGTACAGCTCTATTTTGGTCCTAAGTCTTTCTCAACAATTTGCCCAGGTTTCCCTGCACGTTCACTGGGAGGGGGAAGAAATGTAAACGCAGCCCTGACCAAACCTATACAATTAGCAACTTAAGAAGCTTAGGATGTAAAGTGACCATCACTTAGAGGTTTCCTTGATTTGGGTTGCTGTCATTCCTTTACTCCCAAATGAGGGAAACTGATAAATAAGGCAAACTTAAATCTTTCCCCTTTGCAAGTTTTAGATATTCCAAATCACTTATTTCCTAAGATTACATGCTAGACACTTAATGTTCTTTTAAAAAATGTCCATTTCACCTTGTGAACTAATGGCTATACAAATCCATCACTAAAAAGCAGTAATAGATTTCAGTTTGCCCTGATTTATTTAAATTCAAAATAGTTTACCGAAAGAAAAACAGAAAAAGTTTTTTTCTAAAAATGATTACTGACTTCCCCTTTAGAAAAATTATGAAAGCCTGTTAGTGTACTGGCATAGTCTTCTGAAAAACAATGTGTCTTAATGTTTCATTGGGCATGAATATTCACTTACCTACTGAACTGGTGAGAAATGTTTTTCTGAGATGTCTTAAATAATCCAAGGACAAAGGAGTGTTAAAACTCAGTACTTCCTCAAGGTATGAAGACGGGTGGTTGAAGTGAAGGCAGAGGTGTCTTAAGCTCTAATGGTGATTCCAAAACTATCAGGCTTGAAATGATGTAATCAAGTCCTTAAAAGCTATAGACATGAATTTCTTCTGTGATAATCATGCATCATAATCTGTAATAATGACAAATTTTAGATACTCAGAATGATCAAAGACTGTCATTGATCTAAGTGGATTATATCATACAAAGTCCTTATCTCAAAGGAATGCTGATGTAGACGGCTCTAACAGAAAATAACCAATACAAACGCAACTATACATAAACATTTTTCACTTAACCAGCAACTATTCCGGTGATCAAAAACAAAACAAAAACAAAACACTCGTCCCTGGAAGACAGGAGCTAATAACATTTTATCATTTAAGTGAAATATGTAAGCACAAGATTAAAGAATATAAATATTGGTTAAATCTAATATTCTTTACTATAAGATTCTATTAGGTTCCTGTCCATTTTTTAACCAGCCTGCAAGCAACCTTTGGGCATCATTCCCACACATGTATAATACAATGTTACAGTCAAACCAGATCTACTATTCCCCAAAATGTGGTCTGCTCTTCCCATTCTCTGTACCTTTGCTCAAAGTGTTCTCTCTTCTTGGAATACTCTTAATCCAACCTCTGCCAGATGAAATCTTACCTCCATAGAGCCCCTCCCAATACCCCCAGTTGAGAGAAGTTTCTTCCTGTCTTCCATATATTGAGCCCTCTCTGAAAGGTATGTGTCATCCCGCTAATCTGTTCTGGCTTTGGCTTCTGTGGGCCTCCTTATCTTCCTTGATTTAAGGTCCTGGAAGGCAGAGCCTCTTTGTATCCATCTCTTCACTACCAAAATAACTAGCCTAGAAACTTAAATATAAAAATGAGCACTTTGTTGAAATGAACTAAATAAATAACAGGGAAAATATTGATATCTGTTCTTTGTATGGTCCTTTTTCTCATTTACAGTAATAAACTACCAATGGAATAGTTCTGGTCCAAACCAAATCTGCAAAGTAATCACATTCGGCCCTCCTACCTCATTTACACGTCATCAACTACAAGTGTCAAATCAGATGGTACTTTTTATTTTTTAGCCACCTGAACTGCTATAACACCACTGTCTAATTCAGGAAACCAGAACCAAATAAACTATTTGAAACATGTGCATACTTTTTAAAGTGGACATCTTAAAATTACCTGGATCTTCCATATACATCAATCACATGCAGAATTCTAAATCTAACAATTATATTCGGGTGAATGAATAATCACTTAGCCCAGAATCCACTGGAGGCTGGTCCAACTCTAATTGAACAAACTGTTAAGTTCAACACATGCACAGTCTGTAATGGATCTGGATCCCACATGTCCTAACTGGTTTCTCCATAACTTAGGTTCTATTTCAAGGAAACCTGAGTAATTCTGACTCAGGTTGGGATTGTTGTCAATACTTACCCCTGCAATGAAACTGTATCATACCATTATGTAATATTGATTTCCTCTGCTCTACAGTTGCACCTAGGTTAGTTTGTTCAGCTTTTAAGAAATCAGTTCTAACAAATGATTTCCAATTACCACACAATTCCACGTACACAGAAAAAACACTATCCTAAGGAAAACTTCAAACATTTTCAGCCAAGACCCAGCTCAAATTAAGAAAATTTTTATATATATGGTATATACTGGGGTGGCCAATCCACAGACATAGGTCGTAACTCCTCACTTCAGTTCCATAAGCTGCTCTTAAAAAAGAAGGGTGAACGGGGTGGGTAGGACAGGGGACCCTCCATGCAAATTAGGGCAATATATTTAAAACGTGCTTTTTGAAAAACCATAAACATGATGATACAGAGATTTAGAAACATGTTAAACACCGACCAGTTTTATTCGTTATTCAGTGTTTATCTGTAACCTAGTCTTAATCTAACCAAGAATAAAAATGGTATCTATTTGGGGGGGGGGGGGAGATATGGTTAAAATCACTTCAGTCCATTGGAAGAAAACACTGGAAAACTTCTACAGCAACTCTTAGCATACAAATTTGTACAATACTATTAGTTTTGCAACAGAGTTCTACTACCTTTAGTACTTGAGGACTTTCTAGTATATCAATATCAGTATGATCTTCATCTCTTTAATGATTAATACAACCCTATCCCATTTTAAGAGCTAACCCAAGATCACTTGACATTTAAGTTAATGCAACAAACTTACTCAGTTACTGTCCTCACATACTGTGGGTCTCATCCACAGTACTACTTTCACCCACTCCTAAGCTGGAGGAGGTCATATGAACTCCTGCCTAAAAACCATGTCTTGGAGTTGTTCACATTTCACTTTCACTACAGTAAGCATTTGGCAAAGTGAGTTTCAGAATACTTTAAAAATTTACAGAAGATCTCAGTTTGCTCTACGAAACTCAAGCTCAGTAGCTGGTGGAAAAAAAATGTGGGCACATTTTTTTTCTTTGAAAGCCCTAACCAAAGGCCCCACCACCCTAGAGTTATATGAAAGAATAAAACTTAAAATCTTCTTTGGTGTTTAAAGGGTAGAAAAATACTAATTCAAAGGAATATGAACCCCTATGTTTATTGCAGCATTATTTATAATAGCCAAACTATGAAAGCAGCCTAAGCGTCCATCAATAGATGAATGGATAAAGATGTCAGGCACACATATGTGTACACACACACACACACACACACACACACACACACACAATGGGGTATTACTTAGCCATAAAAAAGAATGAAATCTTGCCATTTGCAACATAAATAGATTCAGAGAGTATAACGCTAACCAAAATACACCAGAGAAAAACAAATACATGATTTCACTCATACATGGAATTTAAAGAACAAATGAACGAAAGAAAAAGAGAGACAAACCAAAAAATAGACTCTTAACTATAGAGAACAAACAACAGACGGTTACCGGAGAGCAGGTGGGTACAGGGATGAGTGAAAAAGGTGAAGGGGATTAAGAGTACACTTCTCTTAATGAGCAATGAGCAACATATGGAACTGCCTGAATCACGTTACTGCACACCTGAAACTAATGTAACACTGTGTTAACTATACTGGAATTAAAATTTTTTTTTATTTTTTTTTTAATTTTTATTTATTTCTAGGAGAGAGAGAGACAGCGTGAGCAGGGGAGGGTCAGAGAGAGAGGGAGATACAGACTCCGAAACAGTCTCCAGGCTCTGAGCTGGCAGTCAGCACAGAGCCCGACGCGGGGCTCGAACCCACGAACCGCGAGATCATGACCCAAGCGAAAGTCGGACGCTTAACCGACTAAGCCACCCAGGTGCCCCATATACTGGAATTAAAATTAAGAAACGTTTTCTTTGGTATTTAAAATATACATTCAACTGGGGCGCCTGGGTGGCTTAGTCGGTTAAGCGTCCGACTTTCGCTTGGGTCATGATCTCGCGGTTCGTGGGTTCGAGCCCCGCGTCGGGCTCTGTGCTGACTGCCAGCTCAGAGCCTGGAGACTGTTTCGGAGTCTGTATCTCCCTCTCTCTCTGACCCTCCCCTGCTCACGCTGTCTCTCTCTCTCTCTCTCCTAGAAATAAATAAAACATAAAAAAAAATAAAATAAAATAAAATATACATTCAACTAATCCACTTTTAAAGTTAAAACTGGGTCAGATACAATATATTCCAGTAAATACATTTCAGTTCCTTCATATGGCCAGTCTAAGAAAAGGGAAGCAGAAGACTCATAAATGAGTAATTAAACGACTTTAGCAACCACCAGAAGCCCACATGTTATACTACCACAGACCCCCAAAAGATCAGCTTAACTGAAATACAATTCAACAGGTCTTATCCAAGAGTTGTAAAAAAGGTAGGCACAATATGGCCTCCCCTCCAAATTCTTTTCGGGCCTCCAGTAAGTGGAAGATAAAATGTTATCACCAAACTTTCAAAGCATCCTTAAAAGCTCAAGACAAATTACAAATATTAAAGTTTCAAGGTAATCTTTTGAAGGCAGCCCACTCACAAAATAAACTCTATTTTTAAAGGACTTTATAATAATACAAAGTAAATCTTTGTAAAACCAAAAGTTACAAATTCCCAGGGTCACCTCTGAAATGACTGTCACCATCATCTATATCAAAACTCACCAAACTCACTCACTTGCTCCATCCTCACCGTTCTGTAATTCTCACACATCCACAAACATTTATGGCACCAAACATATGGCAGGAACAATTTGGAATGGGATGCTCATAATACCAATGGAGTTAATTCCATTCCTCAGCCCTGAATACTTCACAGACCAACCAAAAAGACAGATAAGACAGATAAATCAAGCAGTGAAAACAGCTCAAACAAAAGAGGAAAGGGGTATGACAGCCTACATATTCCAGAAACTGGAGCCATCAGGATGCATACGGTAGAGGGGGAGAGGAAGTAAGAAAGATCAATGCTAAGGTTTAAACAATGCTGGAGGATAGAAAAGGATTATAGCAAGAACATTCTAGCAGAAATGTGGGGGATGGTCTGGAGTAAAAGGTAATATATGGAAGCAGGCACATTAAGATATTATATACCCCTGTTTACTAATAACTAAGGCAGTAAGGATATTTTAGCTTGGGTATGTGTGGGATCCTTATCAAAATTAGTACCAAAATTAGAATTCAAAACAACCTAACAGTTATCTTTAGTTTGTCGCGTGCTCAAAATTAGGAAGGAAGAATAAGAATTTGCTTTTTATGCTAAGGTACCTGTTGGGTATCCAGATTGATACCAAAAGTGTAAGAATACTGATCTGATAGGTGGGAAAATACCGATAAGGTTTAGAAATCATTTACAAGGTGGTGACTCAAGCTTACAAGTGAAGATGAGCCATGTATTTTCTCTGCTAACAAAAACCCAGAGTTCACTTCCTTGTTCACAATTTCTCCATTCACACTCTCTAGCACAAGAAGGTAGGAGGATCTTCTGCCTCTAAGAATTCCTTCATGGAGATTTGACTATAAGACCATCTTGTTTAAAAGTCAATGAAATGACTTTCAGGGGAGCTTCATCTTAGTAATTCATCTTAGTGATTAAGACACTTCTCCAATAAGAGACCATTTTACATTAAAAACCACATTTGTAAAATGACATCAATTGCCACCTAAACTGTATCTCAAGCAAGAAAAACAAACCCCCACTCCAAAGTGGCCAAAAAGACACTAATTTAGGAGTGCCTGGGTAGCTCAGTCTCCAACTCTTGATCTCAGCTCAGGTCTTGATCTCAAGGTCGTGAGTTCAAGCCCAGTGTTGGGCTCCATGCTGGGCATGAAGCCTACTTTAAAAAACAAAAAACAAATATAAAGAAAAAAAAAAAAAAAAAAGACCGCAATTTAAAACTAAAACCAAAACCTGGGATCCTGTTTTGGGGGGTAAAGTTAGAAAAACAGAACTACAAATTAAGCTGAATTTAAAAATTACTATCAACTACAGAGATTTCATATATTGGAAAAACACAGAGGAAAATCATTCTGGTACTCTTTTAAGTCAATGGTTCTAGTCTGGTTTTACTCACCAACTACCAATTATAGACATTTGATAAGTAGCCTGGCAGATGCCATTAAACGATACTATTGTTAATCCAATTCTAAATAGTCAGTGTTTGCCTCATCTCCAGATACACAAATACAACTGCTCTCCTCATCATCTTTAAGACAGAGTTTCAGCAGGATGATGCCTAAAGCTATTCACCAGTATTTTGCTATCCTTAAATAACTGCTTGTTCTAGAATTATTAAAAACTATGGCTTCTGGGGCGCCTGGGTGGCTTAGTCGGTTAAGCGTCCGACTTTCCGACTTTCGCTTAGGTCATGATCTCGCAGTTTGTGGGTTCGAGCCCCGCGTCGGGCTCTGTGCTGACTGCCAGCTCGGAGCCTGGAGCCTGTTTCAGTCTGTGACTCCCTCTCTCTCTGATCCTCCCCTGCTCACGCTGTCTCTCTCTCCTAGAAATAAATAAAACATTAAAAAAAAAAAAAGAAAAAACTATGGCTTCTGATAGTCTAGTCCATGCGGTACTTGTTCAACTGTTAATAGTACTAGGCTTCCAGAGCTGTTACTTCTTACTAGACAGAAGATCACCACACACAAAGTCCTCAAAGAACCGCTTGATACCATGGCATTCTAATCCTCCATCGCTGGCATCAGACATTAGGAAACAATGACTTTAGGCATCTGATCTCTACTTGCTATGGGTTTGGAAACGTCGGCTGTTTCAACAATAGATCTATTATGAACCGGGGGAAAAGCAAATCTATTTCTAAAATATTTGTGGTTAAGTCTACTTACCGTTCTCAATCTGATACTGCCCGATACTTTCCTACCATTAAGAACTTATAATCAAACACTCTTCTGCAAGACGCGTGCAAGGACGGAAAAGGAGCAAACCTCTCCGCCAAATGCTTTGGTAAAAATGGAAGTGGCGATCGCCCCAGAGTGACTGGAGTGTCCTGTAGCCCCAGGCCTTCCCCGCGCGGCCTGGCGGGCGCCCACTCCCAAGGCTGGAAGGCAAGGCGCCCAGCGCCCGCACACCCCCGGCTGGGATTGGCCGGCCAAGCAGTCATTCAGCGCCGACACGTCAGGGCAGCCGCTCCCTCCCTCCTCCCGCCCTCTTCTCCCCGCGCTTGGCAAGAAAAGCGGGCAACGTGGAGCGGGAACAAAGGACCCCGCGGCCCACGGCGATCCCGGACGCGGTGCCACCCCACCCCAGGCCCCCATGCCGCCTGGGGCCGGCTCCCCGCCCACAGGCGCCGGGTCCTGGGAGATCTCTCGGGGAAGACAGTGTAGACCTCGGTTAGACCCAGACGCTAGGAGTCGAATCTGGACACCGGGAACAGAGATTCCCGCGTCCTCCTTCCGGTAGTCATTCCTGACCCAGGCCCACGAGGTTCCCTCGAGCAAAGAACTCCCGCCCTATTTCCTCGGCACCCGCCTCGGCCGCCAACGCGACCCGGCAACCATGGCAGCGCCAGGAGCGCGGACCTCGCGCGGCGCCCGCTCCTCGCCCCCAGAAAGCGGCGGCAGCGGCTTGGAGCGTCCTCCCCCGGGACCAAGGCGCCGCTCCGCGTCTCGCACCGTCTCCCCCAGCCGCCCGCGCCATCGCTCAGCAAAGGACTCCGGTCGCGCCCTCGTCCTCCTCCGCTGCCTAGGACCTGCGCGTATTACCTGGTTCATCTCTGAAGAGATGGAAAAACTCATGTCTGGTGCTTCGATGGGGAGCAGGAGGAAGCGGGCGGGAATCGGCGCAACGGAAAGCGCCTCGAGGCCGCGGAGGGGGGGGAGCGGTCGAGCGGGACGACGAGCGGCCAGTCAGTGGAGGCTGCGAGGACGGGGCAGCGCCACCGAGGCTTCGCGGGGACTCGCTCTCTGGCACTGCCGCGCCAAAGCAGCAGGCGGAGAAACTGCCGAGCAGCTCCGAGCGACCGACCTCCACGCGCGTCCCGGAGACACTGCCGCCGCCGCCCGCTCGCGCCGCACCCCCCTCGCACGTCACCACGTGCGCCGCCGCCGCCGCCGCCTCCGCCGCCGCCAGTGCCTCCAAGCTGCTTCCGGCTCGAACCGTCGACGAATCACAAGCGAGCACCAGGAAGCTCCTGCTCGCGGCCCCGCCCCCCGCTCGCCCCGCCCCGTCCGTCTCCTTCACCTCTTTGGGTTCGCTCATTCCTGCTGGGCTCAAGTAGGTCAAGGCAAGGTGATCCCAGGGAGACGGGGGGGTGCTTGGGGCGCGCCCCCTTTTACCTTAGCGCGCGGTCGTCTCCTTCCCTTGCCTCGCACCCTCACTGCGCCCTTGCGGACTGCGCCGGAACTGGTTTCCTCCAGCCGCCCTCACCTGTTCTGCCTCCCCCTAGAGGCACAATAGCCGGAGCTCAGACGTGGGAGATGAGATTTCTCGACGTCGAATTTACCTCCAGGCAACCGCCCGAGACTGGCGCTGGCCGCTGTGGAACTGAGTGTGATGGGCCGTGGGTTCCTACCTTTGTTGGAGGGTGGGGTGAGTGAGCAGGGGGCGTGGAGATTGTGAGAAGACAGGCACGCTGGGGGAAGACGCGGTGAGAAGACTCAGTAATAGGAAAAAAACAACAACAAACCATTGAGAGGTCAGAGAAGGCCTTCTATTCTATTAGTGTTGCTATAAAAACCTCCGGGTTTCTGCTTTGTCTGAGGGCGGCTATCCCTTCGGAGAACAGGCCGTTCTTTGCTGGTCTCGCCCTCTTTTGGAAGAAGAGAATCGGCTGGAGAATCGGCGGTCCCCATCCTAACCTTCTGGGGCCTTTTAGACCTCATGCCAAAGCTAGCTATCCACCCCGCCACCTTGTCCCCAAGAGGCAAACCCGTTCCGGGGACACATGAGGTATACTGGGCTCTGACAGCAACTTCATGTGACTCTGAAGGGCATGCTGGAAAGTTTCCTAGATTAAAGGTGAGGGGATTTGCTGAGATAAAGTTGTTTAGAGTTCGGCAGAGGCTTCCAGGCTGATGTCCCCGTTAGTTTATCCTGATTTGGGGAAGGCACTTAAGCGGTCTCGATCTAACCTTGTTTGTAAATGACTGCTCAGCTTCGTTTCCAGACATTTCTAGGAGCCTACCATTCTTTATCATCAACTATTTATGCTTACGGGAGCAGGAAAAATAAATGTTGGGGCTCTTGATCTGCAACAGAAGCTTGGAAACATTTCATTCTAAAATCTTGAGGCAAGGAGAGGAGTTTCCGTTTTTTCCCTCCATTAAACTGTCGGAGGAAACAGGAACCAAGATTTCTATTAATATGACCCTTCTGTCTTCAGGGGAAAAAGACTGCCATTTGCCACTGGGCCCTTGTTTTTGTCTTCTGATCATTAATAACCGACAGTAGTGTTCACTTTTATTGCAAACGAAACTATTAGAGTACATGACTCTTAAGCTCTTTTAATACCAAGGGTTTCATTCTTTCAGTGAGAGCATGAATTGCCTACTTGGGCTAGGCACATGACTGCGTGGCCTGCTGGACACATGGTCCCTCTTGCTCTACACTAAATAGTCCCTTTGTGACCTGAAACAGTCAACACTTTTCTTAAAGCTACAGTGTGATCAGTCAATGCATTCTTGCCTTGTATGGAATTTCACATTTACAGATTACATTTTCTATGGATAATGGCATAATTAATTAATTTCATTTGTCTTCTAGGCAACTCCAGACTCAAGCCTATCCAATTACTGTATAGTCCAGATGAAAACTTGAAAATAGAACGCTAGCAATTTCAACCCTCTAAAGTAGCAGATTAGAAGGTTTTGCTCCTAATATTTAATGTAGACAAGATAGATTTGGAGAGTGTTTAATAAAAATATAAACTATCGGGCGCCTGGGTGACTCAGTCAGTTAAGCGTCCGACTTCGGCTCAGGTCACTATCTTCGCGGTTCGTGGGTTGGAGCCCATGGCGGGCTCTGTGCTGACAGGTCAGAGCCTGGAGTCTGCTTCAAATTATGTGTCTCCCTCTCTCTCTGCCCCTCCCCTACACACGCTCTGTCTCTTTGTCTCTCAAAAATAAGTGAACATTAAAAAAGTGTTTAAAAGGGGCACCTGGGTGGCTTAGTTGGTTAAGCGTCCGACTTTCGCTTAGGTCATGATCTCGCGGTTCGTGGGTTCGAGCCCCGCGTCCGGCTCTGTGCTGACTGCCAGCTCAGAGCCTGGAGCCTGTTTCAGTCTGTGACTCCCTCTCTCTCTCTGACCCTCCCCTGCTCACGCTGTCTCTCTCTCTCTCTCTCTCCTAGAAGTAAATAAAAATATTTTTTTAAACAAGTGTTTAAAAAATAAAAATATAAACTCTCAACTCGTATTTTATGTCAGGCGCTGAGAAAGTAAATTAGAAATTGGTGCCAATCTATAATCTTTCCATTTTTCTCTCGGATCCAGCTTCACATGTTGTCCCAGTGCTAAACTCTGACTTGTGGTTTATTCTTTATGTGTGAGTTTGCTAGGGCTGCTGTAACAAAGTACCACACACAGAGTGGCTTAAACAACAGAAGTTTATTTTCTCACAGTTCTGGAGGCTAGAAGTATGAGATCAAGAGCCATGCTCCCCCTGTGGGAGCTATGGAAGAATCTGTTCCAGCCCTTTCTCCTGGCTTCTGGTAGTTCTTTGGCTTGCGTGGCATTGTCCCTGGGTGCATATCTCTTGGGTCCAAATTTTCCCTTTTTATACAGACACCAGTCCTATTGGATTAGGGGCCCACCCTAACCCAGTATGACCTTAACTAAATCTGTAATGACTGTTTCCAGATAGGGTCACCTTTTGAGGTATCGAGGGTTAGGACTTCAATGTATGAATTTTGGAGGGGACATAATATAACACATTAGTTCAGTGTTACTCAGGTTTGGTCCACTGACCATATTCGTCAAAACCACCTGGATGTTCTTACTAGAAATGCAGTCCCTAGGCTTCACCCTAGACACCTCATCCAAGGAGGAGAGTATTTTTTGCACCTAGGGGACATTTAACAACATCTGGAAAAAGGCCCAGAGAAGCGATGCTGTGGGTATCTAGTGGACCTGAAAGGCAGCTCAGCTACCTACAAGACACAGGGAAGTTCCCACACAAGAAAGTCATCTGACTTAAAATACCAGTAGTGGCAAAATTAAGAAACCCTATTCTAGAACCACTGGGCCAGAACCTCTGGGAAAGGGACCTGGCAATCTACATTTTGACAAGCCTCCCAGCAGCTTGGACCTACGTTCAAGTTTGAAAAACACTGCAGATACAGAAGCCTTTACTAGGCATGTGAACATGTGCCCTTTTGTTCCTGATATTAGTCACCTCTCTTGTTTATCAGCCACGCTCATGATGATAAGTTAATTAAATATTACTACTTAGCAATTCACACAATTTATGTCTTACTCTAACCTTTATTTTATTTTATTTTATCTTGTTTTATTTATTTCTGAGAGAAAGAGACACACATGAGCAGGGGAGGGTCAGAGAGAGAGGGAGACACAGAATCCAAAGCAGGCTCCAGGCTCCGAGCCAGCTGTCAGCACAGAGCCCGACGCAGGGATCAAACCCATGAACCGTGAGATCATGACCTGAGCTGAAGTCGGACACCCAGCCAACTGAGCCACCCAGGCGCCCCTCTAACATTGACTTTAAACCGGACACTTGTGTACATTTTAACACTTCTATACCACATTATATTATTTTTAACCAACTATCTGCATATTTTGGGTGTCCTTTGCCTGATGAAAAAAACATTGCCAATTTATGGTTTGGCAAAGCGATACAGTGCCTCCTCCAGTCCACTAATTTCTGCCGTATTCTGAGTGACTGACAGACTTGTCTGTTTCATATATTGCTCTCCTCCCTTGTAGTCCATGCTTGCTGTTCTCTCAGTTCTTTTTCTATTTTGGCAATTGAAAATATTTTTGCGGTACGTTACTGGTGTCTTG